CATCAATGAGTCCACCTCGTTCTGCACCTTACGGTAGAAAGTAGTAACGTAACGCTCGTAGGCTTCGAATTCCGTGGTACCAACGATCTGCTTCAGATCGCCCGCTTTAATGTGACTGAATCCCAGCCATTTCCAGACATCAAATGTGGTGGCTTCAGTTTTAAGCATCCTGAAAAGTCGGAAGGTTAAAGCCTTTTTGTAAAAGAACTCGTAATACTTGTAATTCTTGTGTGCCTTAAGTGCTGCGTCGTCGAGCGAATCCAGCTTCAGCGCCTTTCTGACATAGCCGTCAGACATTCCGAGCTCCAACCAGAGTCGGACTTTCACCCACTGCCACGCCCCTCTTTCCGCAGAGCTTTTTTTGTCTGCTGTATTTGTGTTGTCTGGCAGCGACCGAGTCTGATCTGGGATGATCGCTGAAATACTGGACGGGTGGGCTGCTGAGAACAGACTACCGGCGAGGAATACCAAATAGGCGACGATGACAATTGGAGGTGAACGCATGAGTGCTCGAGATGAACGGAGTGAAATCGGGAATGCGAGGCGGTTGCCAGGACACTGTTTCCCTCAACTTGTAAAAACTGCCAAATCGTTGCCAGAAACATGACTTTACAAAACCGGAGACTAGTCTGATCCGAGAAGTATTACATACGAATTAGATTGCGCTGGAAATTGGCCTTGGGATGAAAAACAACTGTACTCTAATCCGAAGCAACAAGTCTGATCCCAAGGAACAAAACAAGATCTTCTGAATTACTGATTTGTTCACTATACATTCAGCCACTTCAAATTTTTGTTTTTGTTTTTCGTCGATGACTTGACACATAATATGTGCCTCAATTGGTGAACATATAATATATGTTCACCAATTGAGGCAGGTTACGTTAGGCACAGTAATAATAGTGCCTGGTGCTGTCCAGCTATTCGCTGGCAGTGTTAGTGAGTGTGCGGTGAATGCAATGAAATAAAAGTAGATTAAGACCACTGCGTGATACACTCCGCGACAAGATATATCACCCACCCGTATTTTAGTCCGTAACTCGCTGAGTTTTACGAGTTATCTGTTGAGATTTGGACAGGCTGCTTT